AGGCCCAGTATCATACCCCTGTGCTGTGCCCATAACAGTCACGAGAAACATTCCTCCCATTTGTTTTGGTAGCTCCTATGTCCCAGTCTCTGCTGATGCAGACAAAACCATTCAGCGGACAATGATAAGCAGAGAGGCATTCAGCCGCAAAGTGAGCTCCGACACTAGCTGCCCTGTTATGCACTGACTAGGATACCGTACTCTTTCGCCAATAGCCAAGCTCTTTGTGGTTTTATTTTAAATAACTGCCACCACCATGCACTGAGTGTCTGCTATTGTGCTGGGCACTGGTTCCCAGCCCATGGTATTGAGTGCCTTCATATAGAGTAGCTTCTGAATTCTGTGAGATCGACAAATGAAATATGCCTAAACTAACGATGAGACGGAAACAAGAAGGTAACTTGCTGAAACTCGTAAAGCTAGTAAGGTCTGGGGCCAGGATTTAGCCTCAGGTTGCTCCGAGTCCAAATTTAACTTTCTCTCCGTACTTGAATCTATGGGTTGTAAAGCATATTCTTTCTCCCCTCTTGAATCTGGAGAGGTTGGGCTCTTGTGGAGAAAGGACCGTGCCCGTCCGTATTACAGCCATGTATTCATTCCTACCTGTGGCAGAGTGGCAAACACACACCACCTTGCTAAAGGCACATAAATGGTGCCTCACAGAACCAGGACAGGGTACCGATGTCGTGTAGGCAGTGAACTGAAACGTTGTCTTGTCTCCTTGCCCTTCCCGTCTGCCTAAGAAAGAACTTTGCCCGTGGTTTCCAAGCTTATTACCTAGTCTTGCTACTGTAGTTTGAATGTCAGGTGTTTTCCCGAAGCCCACATGTTACAGTTGAGCCCTCAGCTGATACCATCAGTGGTGAGGCTAGATAGGGGCTGGAAACTGATGACGTAAGGCCAGAGGAGTTGTGCCTTTGAAGTAGATACGGGAACCCTGGCCTTCTCTCTCTCTCTCTCTCTCTCTCTCTCTCTCTCTCTCTCTCTCTCTCTCTCTCTCTCTCTCTCTGCTTCCTGGCTGCCTTGAGTTGGGTGGATTCCCCTACTGTGTGCTCCCAGTAGGATGTGTGGCTTCACCACAGGCCTAGAAGCACTGGGCAAACCTGGCACTGCTGGAAACTCTATCTCAGGCTACAGTAACAGAAAACTGATACAAATACCTTGTTTAAAACTAAGCTTTAACATAATATCCTTCCTTTGTGGAAGCCAACCCCAAAGAGGAAAGATAAAACAATATTTTAAAAATAAACTATGATTTTAATTGTTGCAAAAAAAACAAAACAAAACAAAACAAAACTAAGCTTTACAAAGAAGCAAGGCTTGAGGATGATTCCTTTACCTTGCTCTTCTAGTTTTCGATGCAGCCTTCACCTTTTGCCTTCCTCCTATACTTTGGGGTGCATTGAGAAACAGGTGTTGCCTATCACAGAGCAGGGTGACCCTTTTGCTTTTGTCTTCATCTCCTATGTTATAATTGTGATAATTTGGTTCTCTGTCAGTTGTTTGGCACAGTCATAAATTCTGCCTTAGTTTTAGCTCCCGGGGTCACAGGACAAGCTGCTGAGTTCCATCTTGAAGGGCCCTGCAACTTGATCCCTTATTTCCCTGACCAATTTGTGTGGAAACTGCTTTTGTGTTCCAGAAAACAAGTCAGATTCCAGTAATTTCTCCAGGAAGAACTCTCCCCCTTGCTTGGTTTTATAACTAAATATATCTTCCTATAATTTGCCTCCTAATATGTGTTTGCCGGGGTAAATGATTCGTTCTTTTTTTCTTTTGTTTTCATTGCTTCTCATAGAGACCTCAAACTCAGAAGTTTGAGTGGAGTGGCAAGGAGCAGGCAGGAAATGTGATGAGCTAAGAGGTGTGTGGACAGACATGTATGTAGTATGAACGGTGGAGGGTTTCCATAGCATACCGTGTATTAGTTACTTTCCTTGTTGCTATAACAAACATTACCTGATGCCAAAATTTAAAGATATGCCTACTTTGGCCCATGGTTTCAGAGGTTTAGTTAAAGATGGCAGGGAAGTCATGGCAGAGCCGCTCTGTCAATGATGAGAGCACGTGGTAAAATCTAGTCACACGGTGGGGGGGACCAGGGAGCAGAGGGAGACAGGAAGTGGGCAAGGATAACACCCCAAGGACCCGTCCCTTCTTCCCAGTGACCTACTTCCCCAAGTTAAGTTCTACCTGCCAAAGTTTCCAGAACCCTCCAAAAATAAAGCCACTAGCTTAGGACCAAGCATTCAAAACACAAACATTGTAGGGCACGTTTGAAATTCAAACTATAGCATACTAGAAGGCACGTGTGTCCGACCTTCTGGCCAAGTTTGGCCTCTTGGCCTCATGGTTTGCAACACTTCTCTGTTTGCCCTTCCATGACTCAGATCTCTTATCACCTCTGCCGCCTGTGAGGATCCAGATTAATTATTTCTCAAGTTTTCATCACCGAGAGATTAGATGCAATCTAATTCCTTGTGCAAGCAATTCAGAAAGGACCCTTTGCCCTCAACCAGATTGCTGAGGTGATACCAGAGCTGCTTCAGCGGCAGCCGTGTCTGAAGGGGGAGTTACAAACGCTGATCTTCCTTGCCTCAGTGTCTGTCTGTACTTCTTGTTTCAGGTCGGAGTCATGAGAAAGGTTTCATTGAGACGACTTTATGAGCACACTCTCTCTAAAATGAGAGCTGTAGAAGCTAATTTTCTACTGCCCAAGCAGTCCCCATCGACACTTTAAAAGAAGTGACAGACCTTTCAGCAGGTAGGTTTGCACTTTCTAATCCATGAACATTGCCATTGCCCAATCTGTAGTTTAAGTCACTTAACACTGAAAGTGTGTGTTTTCTCTTTAAGACCATGTAGTCACCTACCACTTTAAATTTCAGTGAGTCTTGGTGTCAGAGCCAATTCCTGCATACAGTTTCTGATGCCCTTTGGCCCAGCCTGTTCATTTTCCGCCTCTTCTCCGGGCCTATGCAGTCCCCCCTCTCTTTTATCTCTGAGTGCTCCTTCTTAAGATGCCTGGTTCTTTCTTGAGTGGGACCAGGGTATGGGAAGTATTTGGGTTTTTTTTTTGTTTGTTTGTTTGAGAAAGTTATACTACATAAGAACATGTAAGATAGAAACAAGGGAAAGATAACAACAGAAAAACCGAGCAGAAGCAGAGGTTGGCAAGATCTTCTCTGTTTTCTTCATCCTCTAGGACCTGGTAATCCTGAAGCAGGAGAATTTCTTCGCATACCACTTAGTTTCTCTTCCCTTCAAGCCACAACCATGTTTGCAGCTTGGCTTTCTTATTCCACACATGGGTCTAAAAGGTTTATCAGAGTAGAGGTTGCCCCCACAAAAGGTCAGCATTCAGAAGAGCTAGGTCCTAACACCAGCCCTGTTGCTTATAAGCCATTAACCTTGGACAAGTCACTCGGTGTCTCTGAGGCTTCTTTATCTGCAAACTGGATAGAACAACTCCTACCCAGCTCCGCTCAGAGAATGTTGGAAACCGTGAAATGCTGGCCAAGGGAGATACCCTGCGATGCTATCTTGGAATCTAATGCCACAGCTGCTGCCCATGGTGTCGCCTCTTCTAATTGCATTGTCCTGGGTTTCTTGGGGGACGGGGGGGGTCATCACTGTCTTCTAGAGCAGGGAGGCATACATCCTTACGATTTAGGAGAAAAGTTTGTTTTAAACTAGCTTCTGTGGCTGTTGATGAGACACGTGTGGCTGTTTATCAGGGTCATGAGATCACTCGGGAGCGTTTGGATCCTTGTGACTGGCGGAGCAGCAGCAAGTCCTCACCCTTCTGTGGGGCGTGTGCAGAAGTACTATTTGTTTACTTGTTTTGTCTTGTTTGACTAGGGCTTAGGGCTTCAGCGCTACAGCCAGATGGAGTCTTGCTGCCAAAATGATTGTTTCAGAGGTGGGCGCATAGCCAGAGGTTGGGTTCAGCTGGGAGCTTTTGTTCAGGAGTTATCAAGACAGGAACTTCTCCTCTTTTCACTTGTGCAAGGAAGTGCACAGTCCAGTGAACACTGGCAGACACTTGTAGTACCAGAGGGCTTCTGTCCAGGGTCAAAACTGGCTGGGCGTAATGCAGAGTTGAGAAACCTCTGAGATATCTGAATTCCAGCTCTGATCTGGAGCCACCCACAACCTTAGCAGTTACATGTGTCCATGCCTCTAAGTGTGAGAAGCCGATTTGTGCTGGGCTTTATGATACTGGGTGCTGACACAATTCATCTTCAATGGTATGCGGCATACAGGCTTATAAAAGGGGCGTGGGATGGGATAGGATCCGTTTTCAGGGAACTTGCTGACGAGAAGTTGTTCAAATCTTTCTGCTGAGGTGAGCAGCCTGTTGGGAAGGCATGTACAACAAGTTCCGTGTCTTCGTGGGAGGGAGGCTGGACAGGGCGCGATCATGGGGAAAGCTATGTGTGGATGGATGTGGGTGTAGAACATGACTATCTCCATGTTGAGCTTTACCGGATCCTGCCAAGCTCCTCCCCAAGATGGGATGACTGAAGTAGGTTCCCGTCATCAGGCTTCTTAACTATTCCTGTCCCCACAGCCTTGTGAATGAGGGGCTCTGGTCTTCCCAGAGTCGAGCAGCCTACAGACAGCAGGAGAAAAAATGGCTACTAGAATAAGACACCAAATGAATGTAACACTCACAGCACTGCTACACACACGCACATACGCAAGCATGAGACAAAGCACGTGGCAATTTAAGGTGATGATTTAGAAAAAAAATATTAAGTTACATACATAATTTATAATGTATGTAAATCCAAGAACCCGAGTACCTGCCATCTCTCAGCGGGCTTTCATGACACGGGTATATCTCCACACCCCCCGAGATGTTTTTCCTCCTGTAAGGAGAGTGTTGGGGTTTGACTCTAAAATGTCTCCCACAGGTTTACGTTTGGAGGACTTGGACTGTTTTCTGTTTTGAAGGTGGTGGTGACTGGCTGGGTGGAAGCGGGTCACTAGAGGAAGGCTGTCAATGCGTCTAACCTGCTTCTGGTTCAAGCCTGAGATCTCTGCTTCCTGATTGGCCAAGATGTGGGAAGCTTCCATTTCTGGCTCCTGACAACATGGACTATTTCCTGTTGCTGCATCTTACCATGGTTGACTGAAATCCCTCTGAAACGTGGGGTCAGAGTACATTCTTCGCCTGTGAAGTCGCTTTTATCAGGTTATCGTCACAGCAAGGAGAAAGGTAAATAACACTGTGGGGGATGGGAAAGAACGGGAAATAGCATGTGCGTGTGTACCACATGTGCGCACGTGTGTGTATGTGCATGTGTGTGCATGTGTGTGTGCGTGTGCGTGTGTGCATGTGTATGCATGATGGGGAAAGTATAGGAGATGGTAGGAATGGTTGTTTTAATACAATATTGGGATGAAACAAGCAGTAAAATTTAGTGTAGTTTCTTTTATTATGCGAGAGGGATTCTGAAGGCGGTCACGGCAGGCAGAGAGGTGAGCCACAAGAAGGTCAGAAGGAAAACCCCATTCAGATCGACTTCATCAACCCGGATCAAGACTCTGGGGAGTCTGATGCCAGGAAGTTTATTCCCAACAAATATAAACACAGTATAATTTTTGAAAAAACAGTTCCTGGTTTCATACAATCCCCAGTTCACAGGGAACTTAATTACATCGAAACTTAAGTCAGAGTACAGGTCATTTCTTTCAGGAAGATGGGTTCTAGAGATAGGGCTGCCCGTACTGGGTTAAGGGCCTGAGGCAAGCTCTGGCCTGGTCTTAGTCATCCAGAGAGCCTAGAGGTCATTTGGGCTATTAACTACCTCTGGTCCTGGTTGGGGGAGCTTGAGGGAACATCTGGCTCTACAGATAAGGTAAGGGTTGTTTAGACTATTAGGTATCTCCAGTCCTGGTGTGGGAGTTGGCAGGAGTCCCTGGCTGTAAGGGTCACTTAAATTACTAGCCACTGCTGGTCCTAGTCGTAAGAGCTTGATATGGCCTCTCCAACAGACAGCACAGATCAGGAGGCTGTTAGTCACCTCCACCCAGCTTTCTGGATGAAAAAGCAGGCTTTGCATTTATTCCTTTGAGAGGACAGTCCTGTGGGTTTAATATTTCTGGTTGCTCCTGGAGATCTGGGGAGTTTCATGCTCTGCTCACCCCTGACAATTACAAGCTAATTTTTTTTTTTTTTTGCTTTGTTCATCATGGTTTAAAACAGTTTCAGTTATGGGCCCAATGCCTTACACACCAGGCTGAGTTAGCCAGCAGCTCGTTAGGTATGAAAAGTTTACTGGAAGATGTCAGAAACAGTTAATAAGCATTTAATCGGCATAATACTCCCATTTAAATACATATATCCTAAAATCAAAGAATTCGGACTGAAAAACAGATTCGTTCGTACTGAACGAGTACCTGACCAGTTCCCACATCACCCGTCATGCGCTCCATCCCCGGGAGGGCCGTTGTCTCCATGTCCCCGCGGTCAGTGTCATCCCTTCACTTCTGGACGAGTTAGTCACAAATGCTGGAGTCGTGGTATTATCAGCAGTCGCCCTCACCTGCCAGCCCTTGGGGGCTGACAGCCAGGCTTCCAGGCATCTTCTATGGCTTTAACAGTTTGTCCCTGCGTGTCTCCTTCAACGTTTTCGTATATTCACAGATGTGTGACAGGGGCCTACCCAGTATCTAGTCTCATCTTTCTCCTTAGAAACAGATTTTATAATGGGAATGATGTGTCCGAATTAAACCAGATTTCCCCAGGCTTCCATGTAAAAAGATCACAATGTGTTTCAATTCTGACCGTCGACTCACAAGAAAAACTGTTCAATATGGCTTTCTGGGAAGCAACTTTAAAAACAGTGACTCAACTGCTGAGTACTTCTTTCCCTAGGGCCATCCTCCTTTCTGTTCCTAAGAGCACTGTGTGATAGGTGGAACTTAAGAACATGAGGATGAGGGTCACAGTCTAGAATAATGCTTAGAGTTGCTCTCTCAACCTCAGACAGCTTCTGTTTAGTTAAACCATGGCCCCTTTGGTGTAAAATTCTCATAGTTGAATGTAACTCTTTATTCAGTGTAATAATACAATACATGATTTGGTCAATGTTTCCTAACTGTCTCTGAATGGAAACTTATGCAGAGAGATATGTATGGCTCATTCGGGTTACCTGAGCTGATTGGAAACAACTCAGCTTTAAAGGTTGGACCAAGCCACATTAGCCACTGTGAAATCCGGAACTGGGATTGGGTGTGAGGGTGAGTCCCTCTGCTCTAGTTTCAGATATCCCATAGGCTGAGATTCGGGAGAGGCTAGCATCTCTAAGCTCCCAGCCCCATTATCACAACAGGCTGGAGAGATCCTTGGCTATATGTTGGAACAAGTGAGAGAGAATTCCTCCTACCTTTTAATCTAAGGTCCGGTGGCAGTTCTACCTATTGAATTAACCCAGCCCCAGCGGTTCTGCATCAGTTTTCAGCAGGTGTAAACTTGTCATCAGCCTATGGGCACTTTCTCAGCGCCCTTGCCTGTCACCATGGTGGGAATAGAACTACCCCCATGAAAGAGCAAGAAAAATGCTCCCTGTGACAGGCATCATTCCCACCCCATCTCTATTCCTTACTTCCTTTCCATAACAAATGTGATGAATAAAAATTAAGTATTTACCAATAAGACATGTTTTTGGAAAGCAAACCAGGCCAACAGTATCCTGAACTATTTGGGTAAAGTCCATCTTTCCCAACAGCACACAACTAAAGCAAACTCAAGATTAAGGCAGAAGGAGCAGTGTGCTCACACTTAAAGGTCAGAGCTAGGGCACCAGATAAATGAACCTAGTGCCAAAGAATGCTTTCTGTGCACTAACGACTACTTATGTATTCTACGGCCCTAGCATCATCACTGTAGCACTGATATAACATAGAAACATTTTGCTCTCATGTAATCTCTTTATATTTAATAGTGTGTGTGTGTGTGTGTGTGGTGTGCCCTGTGTGTGTGTGTCTGTGAAGACCAGAATAGGGGGAAGGATCCTCTGAAGCTAGAGTTACAGGAAGTTATGAGCTATGCAGTGTTGGTGCTGGGAACTGAACTAGCCCTCTGCAAGCACAGTATATACTCTGAGTCATCTCTCCAAACTCCTATGTGTTTTCTTAGATCAACCAGCTATTCACGTGGCATTGAATTCTCTGAGCTGTCTCCGTGGACCAAAGGTTTCTGTGTGCATCAGGCAGGTGGATGCTAATGAGGAGTTCTCTGTTGTGACCCCGGTGGCTTTCTCCTTATCAACAAGATATCGCTTTAATACTTCCAGCTCTGCCGCTGTCAGTGTGAGTCCCTGGCAGCCCCCCCCCCCCGTGAATAACTGGTCATTCTTTACACTATCTCTCTGCTTTCCCAGTGCTACTCTGCTTCAACCCTGGGCACACCCTAAACTCAGGGGCAGAAGCACAGAGCACTCCAGGGTGCCCTAAGCCTGTCATCTTTCCAGATATGTTCAGATGACTTCACGCTACCAGGGATGCAAGGAGCTGGATGATACTAGTATGGATCCTTCTGAGCCCAGCACATTAGGTCACTGTCTTGGTTACTGTTCTATTGCTGAGATGAAACAGCTCATGGCCAAAGCAACTTGTAATTGGAGAACTTGCTTCCAGTTTTCAGATGGTGAGTCCATGACCATCATGGTGGGAAGTGTGGTGGCAGGCAGGCAGGCATGGCGCTGGAGCAGTAGCTAAGAGCCTACATCTTGATCTGCCGAAAGCAGGCAGGGAGTGCAAGACTGGGCCTGGTGTGGGCTTCTGAAACCTTGAAAACTCTGACTCCATCACCAAATTCCTGGAAGATTTTGAAAGACTGCTTGAGTGTTCTGTACCTTGGCTTCCCCAATTTTAGCATGGGTACAATAACAAGCCTACTCACAAAGCCTCTCTTGGAAATTAAAGAAGTTAGGTTAGTGCCATGGCACTTGGACAAGCAAGTCAGTGTCCTGGCTGGCTTCTCTGTTGCTGTGACAATAAACAACTTAGGAGAAATAATTATAGTTCACTGTCAAGGGAAGCCAACACAGGAACCTAGAAGCAGAACCAAAGCGGAGACCGCGGCGTGATACTGCTTCCTAATTTTCTCTCTTTTCCTTGCTTAGCCGCCTTTCCTGTACAGCCCAGGTCCACCTGCCCAGGGATGGCAGAACTGCAGTGGTTTCGGGTCTCTCACATCAATTAACAGCTAAGACAATGCCTCTCAGACACAGCCACAGGCCCACCTGATGTGAGATCATTCCTCAGTTGAGGTTTCCTCTTCCCAAGTGACTCTGGGTGCCCAGTTGACAACCGAGGCTGACTATGGCAGTCTACTTGCCAAGAACAAGGGCAAGCCCCGTGAGCCTTAACCTTCTTCACCACACAGACAGGATCCACTATTTATTTCCATCTTACAGATTAGTGGGGTGAAGTTTGAGGGATAGGGTCATTTAAAGCAAGACAACCATGATTTTGGTCCCTTGGTGATTCTCTTCTTGCTTTGAAAAGTCTTAATTTTTACAAGTCAGGAGTCAGTATTATGGTTTGTATATTAACACCCCCAGTGAACACACGTTGAAAACTTGGTTACTTGCTAATGATGCACTTGGGAGGTGATGGGAAGGTTAGGGAGTAGGGCCTGGTGAAAAGAAGTTTGATAATTTGGGTGTGCCCTGGAAGGGGACATCAGAAACCCTGTCTCTTCTCCCCAGCCTCCTGCTTCCTGGCTGCTATGAGGTAAACAGCTCAATACCACATGGACTTTCTGCCCCTATATTCCACATTGCTACAGGCCCAAACCAATATGATCAAATGACTATGAACGAACACTTCTGAAAACATTGGTGGTAGCTAATCGGACACAGCAGGCTTCATGGTCACTGAGGGTGAACTGGGCCTTCATAAGCAGCCTTGTCCCCTACCGCTGTGTCTCTGGTGACACAGTAATTTTGTGAGGGGGAAAGGATCGCAGTTACCCTTCCCAAGAATTCGCAGTGTCCTGTAAAGAAGAAAAATGATCACAATTGCCTTTTAAAGGTTTTAACTATATGGAAGGGAGGTGGGGGAAGCAGGGCTTGGTTGGTGCCCACCAAGGGAAAGCTATTTCCTTCTACTAAAGCATAGTTATTTTATAGATATTTTAAAAATTTTTTACTTCATTTTAATCTACTCTGTTGTGTGGCTTGTGGTCCAAAGAATGGGGTTTGAATC